AGCAGTAGCAGTAGCAGTCGCAGTACTGGAAGTTGTAGTAGTAGTTGTGGTAGTAGTGGTAGTAGTAGTAGTAGTAGTAGTAGTAGTAGTAGTAGTAGTAGTAGTAGAAATAGTAGTAGTAGTAGTAGTCGTCGTCGTCGTCGTCGTCGTCGTCGTCGTCGTCGTAGTAGTGGTAGTAGTGATAGCAGCAGCAGTAACAGCAGCAGTAGGAGTAGCAGTATCAGTAGCAGTAGCAGCAGCATTTGCAGTAGTAGTAGTAGTAGTAGTAGTAGTAGTAGTAGTAGCATTAGTAGTATAGCACCAGTTGTCATTGTTGGTCTGACTTACAGTTCTGTTGGAGTCTTGACAGCCTCCAGGATGGCGAAGATGTCGATCGTGCTTCAGCCCGGGAAAAAGTACCAGGCGGGCTTCTGCCGGTTCGAAATTGCTCAAAGGATCAGAGGACGCAACCTCGATTGCTTCTGTTTAGGATGTGAGCATAGGATGCAAGAGTTCAGGGTGTACTTAACGGGTTGATTTGTTGCTACATATTCCCAAAATGGGCATTGAGTACCCCTAGTGGGGCTGTCCCAATTATAAACTGCAACATCCATAGGCCAGGTAGTGAAACGGCAAGCCGTCGGTGCCAAGGCCCCCCCCAAAACCTAAAGTCCAGAAAAACAAACCCTAAATCACTTTATAACGTCAAGAGCCGCCACGCTCAGACACGGATTTCCCAAGACACCCTGAAACCAGGCCGTGATTGTTATTTTGTTGGAATCTCCTCGGAGCTCCAACAAGTCCACCTGCTGGGCCTGCCCCCAAGAGCGATCAGGTGGGACAAGCGTGCGCGGCAGAGCTCCTCTTTACCATGATCCTGGCCTATGCCCCTTCGGTTGAAAACCAAAGGATTGCTGATTGCTTAATAGGTTGTCGGGCTCAAACCGAGCAGAATTTGTAGAAAGAGCATTAAAAAGGTCTAAAACCCCATACAAAAATCTGATATCTATACCCTACGCTTCCCCACCCGGTGGAGCTTTTTGAGTACTTTTCTGGATGCCCCACAACCGCAAAGCTGGAGGTGGTGCTGACGGTGGCCACCACGGACACTCCGGCAGAGTGGAAAACGCGACTCGGTGTTGAATGCCGAGGGTTTTAGGGCTCCCCTGGGCACTTTACAGATAACACGTATAATAGAGGGGCCTTAATAATTACCCATACTATTTTGGGAGTTCCTTGTAATAAACATAGCATAATATACCCCAAAACCCTATTCTAACTATTAAGGCCCCTATATTACGTTCCTTCGTTACATACAAACATACGACGTACATGCATGCGTGCATACATATATTCGTTCCTTCTTTCGTCAAATGATTCCTTCATTCATTCTGTGTTTCGTGTTCTTTCACTATCTTTTTCCACACGTACATGAATACATACATACAGACATGTGCGCATGCTTACATACGTCTCTGCTTTGCTTCCTTTCTTATATGCCGACATACCGAAGCACTTGGAAACCTCGAGACCCTAATATAGGGGCCTCAATAATTACCTACATTATTTTGGGGGCTCCTTATTAGAATTATACTATAAAGGAACCCAAAAGCCCTCTTCGAATTATTAAGGCCCCTAAAAAACCCTAAACCCTAAACCAGACCCTAAACCAGACCCTAAACCTAAACCCTAAACCCTAAACCCTAAACCCTAAACCCTAAACCCTAAACCCTAAACCCTAAACCAGACCCTAAACCCTAAGCCCTCGGGTCCCTCTTTAAGCCCTACCCCGCAGCTTTCACGTCAGCCTCAAGGGCTTTTTGGTGGTTTAGGGTTTAGGGTTTAGGGTTTAGGGTTTAGGGTTTAGGGTTTAGGGTTTAGGGTTTAGGGATGCTGCTTTCGTGGTCTAAGTAGAAGCCCTGAACCCTAAACCCTCCCAATTCCTGGGTTTTTACCCCTAGACCCGACACCCAAACCCTAAACCCTAAACCCTAAACCCTAAACCCTAATAGGCCTCGGATCTCTTGGGCCTAATTTTTTGCAGCACCGAGGAAGCAGAACGCCTACTTTGGCCTGGCCATCGGCGCCTGCGTGACTCGGGATGACCTAGTGCCTGGCTTTTCAGGCTAACATTACATGGGTCGGTGGTTCTCTAAATCAGGGCCCCTATATCTGACATTTTAGTAGATGATGTAAGTATCTTGCTAGAGTTTCTTACCTGATAGCTTTTGATGATTATTGTACCATAGAATCTTGTTCTTACTTTACAATATTCTGCGCTTTACTGCACGATAAACAACGGGAAAACCTTGCGTGCTTCCCACATATTCCCTGTTCCCCCTTCTTCCACCTCGAAATGAGGCAAGTACGGGGCTGTGTCTGTCGACTTTAGGATCCACAAAAATGATGCGATGAAGCTTCTGGGTCCTAGTTTCAGTATGTTATTACTATTTTGGGTCCCTTTTCGGTTCCTTCAAGGGATCTGTATGGGTTTCTATAAGGGTACTATAACAAGGATTTGTTTATGTATACTGTAAGTGAAGCCTCATTGTCGTTGGCACCGGCCCTACAGTATGGATCCTTGGGTCTAACCATTCGAGCCCGAACGCTCAAGCCCCCGCCCCATCCAGGGTTTACAGGTTTAGGGTTTCGGGTTTCAGGTTTTGGGTTTAGGGTCTTCAGCAGCGGTCGAAGAATCTTGGAATGATGGAATGCTTTCGGTATGATAATGTCTGGTTTGTCAGGTTGACACCCTAAGCCCTAAGCCGACAATCCTAAACTATACTACTGTTGATGGACAAAATTCTGCATGACCCAAATATAGTATAGCACCATAATTCCCATAGTTTAGGTATATAAGGTCATGCAGGATTTTGTCCAGCAACAGTATGAGCCCGCCTCACCTCGCAGGTGACCGTTGGCGGCTTCGCTTCCTCTGCCATCTCTGGAGGCATGTCACACATGACGGTGATGGAGTAGGGTTTAGGGTTTAGGGTTTAGGTTTCAGGGTTATCTTCGTTCCTATTTGGCATCCATTGAATCGCTTGAGCTTATTCTGAAAGAGGAAGCCGACCAATTTTTTAAGGTCTTTAATAGTTACCTTTACTATTTTGGGAGCTCCTTACCATTATTATTATTATAGTATAGTATAATATACCCCCAAACCCTATTCTAATGCTTACTTCCCCAATAGGCCAGGGAAATAAACGGTCAAACTTTCAGATTATTACTAAATTATAAGAACCCAAAAAGTTTAAAGGTTGGGTATTGGGGAAGTAAGGCCCTGAACCCTTAACCCCTAAACTATGCCTATAGTATAATATACCCCCCAAACTCTATTCTAGCTATTAAGGTTCCTACATTCAACTGCCTGAGGCGAACTGAATCCGGCGGTGTCCTTGGGCATCTACATGGGCAACGTGGTGAATCCGGGGCACGCTGGGGTAGCCCGGACGCAACTGGAGATGCCTAAAACGCGACAGCCCTACACTCCACGGTTTGGCAGTAACTTTTAGGGTTTGGGGTTTAAGGTTTAGGGTTTGTGTCGGTGTGACTAGTGCTGTACTGCTGTACATCCTGGTTTCTTTTGACGCCCTAAACCCTAAACCCTCCTTCACGTGTCAGAGGATGCTCTTTTTCATGGGTCCCATACAGGGGAAGTAGAAGGGTCGGCCATCAGACCCTAAAGGGGCCTTAATAATTTAGGGTTTAGGGTTTAGGATAATTAGAAGAAGGTTTTGGGGCTCGTTGTATTGTAATTATAATAAGGAAGCCTCAAAATAGCATGGGTAATTCTTAAGGCCCCTACATTAACCATTAAAGTAATCTTACTGTTACTGTTCCTCATTGTAAATACACCATAAAGGAGCCCAAAACCCTATTCTAATTATTTAGGCCCCTACATTAAAGCCTAAGCGCTGAGCATCAAGCCCCTAGACCCAAAACCAAACCCTAAACCCTATTTAGGCCCCTACATTAGGGCTTGTAGGGTCCCTTTTAACGGGATCTATAAGGGCTCCTATAAGGGATCATTTAGGCCCCTACACCCTAAAGCCTAAACCCTAAATCCTAAACCCTACACTCTAAACCCTAAACCCTAAACCCTCAGCCCTAAAACCTACAGACCCCTTGGAGGAACCCTAAAAGGATCCCTTAAAGGGGCCCTACATGACAGGTCGGCCTCTTCTCCAACTTCGTCCTCTTCGCACTGTCGGAGGTGGGGGCTGACAGGGATGCGCCAAAGTGAAATTTGGGTTTAGGGTTTAGGGGTTCGGGTTAAGGGTTTAGGGTTTTAGGGTTTAGGGTTTAGGGCTTTAGGGTTTTAGGGTTTCGGGTTTAGGGTTTAGTTACCCACCAGGACCTCTCAAGGGCCCTTTAATGGAGCCCTTATGGTCCTTAATAGTGCGTCTTTAGGGTGTAGTTTCAGGGTAGTTGGGGCCCAAGACTCCCAAAGGATCCGATGTTAGGGTTTAGGGAAGACTCCATTGGGGTTTTGGGTTTAGGGGCTTAGTTCCCCAATACCCAACCTTTAAATAAACCTGTTGGGGTTCTTATACTTTAGTAGGAATCTGAAACTTTAACCTTTTATTTCCCTGGTTTTTTGGGGAAGAAGGATCCTAGGTACCTATATAGTAGCACGTAGGGGTTTCTGTACTAGGGGTTTAGGGTTTAGGGTTTAGGGTTTAGGGCTAGGAATTATTATTCCGATTTAGGGAAGTATCTGTTCGCCATCACAGTACATAGGACCCTTTGGTACTATTAAAGCCAGGAAGTACGCTTACCGTTCCCTAAACCCCGAAGCCCAAAACCCAAACCAAAAGCCACTCTATAATGTTACGTCTGAGGCATTGCTTCAACTCTAGCAACCACGCAAAGAAGGGGACGTATAATTCTGTGGAGCAGCCGCTTCGACACCAAAGCTTCTACCCTGAGGGGTTCAGGGTTTGTCTACAAAGCGAAACGTAACCCCCAAGGCCTGGGGCCATAACTGGGTATAGGTCTTGAAAGTCCAGTTTCTCAACGTGTAGTGCTGAACTAAAAAAGGCTCCTAATTTAGAAGACTACCCAACTCGTAAATGCCGATGCCGAAGCCCAGATGTGAGTAATCCTAATCCCACAAACCCAAGTCCCTGGAGGTTCTCCGGACAACCCACCCTAAACTCGGTCACATAACCCTAAACCTTGCCAAAAGCCCCCAACTACCCCTTATTAGACCCTAAGTACCCACCGTTATGAGCCATAAGGCCTCCATTCAGCAGTGCTTGGGACTCTGCTTGCAGAAACTACACACTAAATCCTAAACCCTACCCTAAACCCTAAACCCTTACAAGCCCCACACCCTAAACCGTATAACCCTATAACCCTTAGAAGCCCTAAACCCTGAACTGTCTGGTGCTTAGATGGGAATATGGGAATGGATCCCTATGATAGTCCCTTAAGGTCCCTTAGAGTAGTCCCTATAACCCATTCCCCCATTCCCTACTAAGCACCAGACAGTGAAAGGTGCCCTATAACCCTTAGAAGCCCTGAACCCCTAAACCCTAAACCCTAAACCCTAAACCCTAAACCCTAAACCCTAAACCCTAAACCCTAAACCCTAAACCCTAACCCTGAAAGGTGCTAGGCGGCGCAATGGCCGCTTGGGTCTTCCGCCTCACGCACGGCGGGTCGCCAGCGGCCGCCGAGGTGGCCGGGTTTGGAGTTGAGGGTTTAGGGTTTAGGCTTCAGGCTTTAGGGTTTAGGGTTTAGCGATTAGGGTTTAGGGTTTAGGGATTAGGGTTTAGGCTTGGGGATTTAGGTTTAGAGTTTAGGGTTTCAGGTTTTGGTGGTTTAGGGTCAAGGTTTAGGTCTAGTGTTTTGCGTTTAGGAAGTAGGTTTTAGGTTTAGGGTTTAGTGGTTTGGGGCTCAGGGTTTGGGGCTTAATGTATGGGCATTAACCTATGGAGGAGGGTTCTTTTAAGGGTTCTTTAAGGGGTTCTATATAGCCGTCCTCCGCTAGCCAGGCCACGTAATTCGAGCCTCCGGGCACTCCCTTTCAAGGAACTGAAGGAGGGACCCCCTTAAATTAAAGGGACCCTTGGGGTTCTATGATGAGACAACCCTGACTTCTGCAAGAGGTCTGAAGACAAGAGAGGTCCTCCAGTAGGTCAAAACTCTTGCCTTACCGACGGATTCCTCATTTGGGGTTTTTGGAGTTATTAGATTTGGGCATGTTGCGCAGGGGTGTCATGGTAGTGTTGACGACTTCTTGTTCGTGGGCGTCGAAATGATGCACTGACATCGAATTCCGAATAGGTAGTAATCTAAAATCCACTCGTAGTTCGTGCGCAACTACTGTACCTAATCCCTAAACCCCACCGCTATGACATCCTTAAGCCCTACGCCCCAAACCCTAAACCCCTTGACCCCAAACCCTACACCCTGAACCCAAAACCCGAAAACCCCTAAAGCCCCTAAACCCTAAACCCCACACTCTAAACTCAAACTCTGACGGCGAAGACCCAGCAACTCGAAAATGGCACCCTCAATATGGTTTAGGCTTTAGGGGTTTAGGGGGTTTAGGGGGTTTAGGGTTTACGGGTTTAGGGTGGGAATAGGGTTCAGGGTTCAGGGTTTAGTGTTTAGGGGCTTTGTGTTTCTGGGTCTAGGGGTTTAGTGAGTGGGTCGGGGTTTAGGGGTTCAGGCTGTAGGGAGTTATAAGAGTCAGAGGTTCAGGGTTTAGGGTTTGAGCTTTAGAATTTAGAGGTGTGAGGTTGTCGGGGTTTGGGGTTCAGGGTAGCTAGTTTAACTTTTAAACCTGTAGGTAATACTGGTGTCAAAACAGTAATCATCTTCGCCATCGCAATAATAATTTCGACGAAAGTGTGATTTGTTCATGACGGTAGCGATGTTAACAATGACAACCACAATGACAACAACTGTATAAACTGGCGGTCTAAGACTGGTGACGGCAAGACCAAGAACGAAATCTCCACTAGCACCACCATTGCTCGTCCATGTAAATGGCATATAGGCTGCCGCAATGCGAGCCGGCGGATGATGACCCTGAAACCTAGACTTCCCTAAACCCTCAAACCCTAAACCCTAAACCCTAAACCCTAAACCCTAAAGCCTAAACCATCGAGTCGGCACCAGATCCTCGATCCTCCAGTTCGAGCTCAAGTGAAAAGGGTGCCTGGGTGCCGATCGCTAGGGGCTGCAGAGGACGACCGGCTAAGCCAGCGGGCCCACCACCGAAGCCGGTGGGATGACGGCCACCTCTCCTGCCTCCTCTGCGCATCATGATGCGCGGTTGTGGTGGAGCACTGTTAGATAGTTAGTGTCTGGCGTACCAGCAGCAGCAATTGGCGCCAAAATGGGGGGACCGCCACCACCGACACCAGCAAACTCTACGACCTTGTCAAGGACGAGACCTACGAAGAGGACATGTCTGTCCACTGGGCCGGCTCCTTCCTGGGACTATGCCGTGGCACGGTGATAAAAAGAGAAGGGCTATAGAAACGGCCATAGCAAATGCTCAGAAGACGATCCCTGCCAGGAACTCTTTCAGGAGACCTTGTAGGAACCCGATTCTATCGATTAAGGCCCCTAAACCCTAAACCCTAAATCCTAAACCCTTGTTCTAACGATTAAGGCCCCTAAACCCTAAACCCTCAACCCTATTCTAACGATTAAGGCCCCTGTTTGGCCCCATAGGCCGGCGGGGCGACGAAAGCGGACGCCGAAGCTCCCTCTAGCTCCATGCCTTGACCATAGGGACCACCTACTTGGAGGGTCGGGGGACTTAGTAAGTAGGTAATAAGTAGAGTTATAAGTGCCCTAAAAGGGCTCCTAATTGGGGTTATGGTACTTATAAGTCTATAGAATAACTAGTTACTAAGCCCCCCGACCCTCCAAGTAGGGACCACCTAGAGGCTCATACCCCTCTTTAGGGTACCGACTTTCGAAACTCTAAACCCTAAGCCCTTTTTTGGGCGGTACCTACTTCTTCTATATAACAGATCCTGAATGAAGAACTAGGTACCGGAAGAAAGGGGTGGGGTGTGAGCCTCTAGATACTGCAAGTTGCAAGATTTGCTGGAAGGGTGTCTCTATAAGAATAGCTGGTTTAGGGTTTAGCGGTTTGGGGTTAGGTTTTAGGTTTTAGGGTTTAGCCGTTTAGGGGTTTAGAGGTTAGGGTTTAGGGCTGAGGGTTTAGGGTTACTATAAGGGCTGCTATTAAAAAAAAAACTTCCCAGTGTTTTTTTGTCAAGGGTTACTGCAAGGGGTCATGACTTCGGCTTCTTAGGCCTTTACGCGTTGGGGTGAGGGTTTCGGGCACGAGTCGATAATAGAAGGTTTGGATACTGATTTTTTTGGTTCAGGATGCAGAAACCCGTCTTTAGGGTTTAGGGTTTAGGGTCTTTAGGGGTTTCAAAGTTTTCTTGGGTTTGAGTCTGGGTTCGTGGGGCTCAAATCCTAGACCTTGCAGCTCTTAACATTCAACAACCCTTACCTTAAACCTAAGCCTACACAAGCCTAAGCCTACACCAAAAGAGACCTCTAAAGATCGAGTGCCATAAAGGAGCTCATACTATATCCTCCCTTCACCAAAAAATCTAATTGTCAAGGCCCCTATATCAAAGAATCCTCATTGTTGCCCTTTATAACGGTATTCAAGAACACCTATAGCCTTAGTTCCCTAATACACAACCCTTTAAATTTAGTAGTAGTAATCGGAAGGTCTAGCCTTTTATTTTCCTGCAAGCCTCTAAACCCCATAAGCCATAAAAGGGGAAAGAACCTAAACCCGAAATTCCAAGCTTGAGGGCAAACCGAAAGAGGCTGGTGTGGATTCTGTTTTGCCGACCCGTAGCTTGTAGGGTTTAGGGTTTAGGGGTTTAGGGTTTAGGGTTAGGGGTTCAGAGTTTAGGGTTTAGGGTTCAGGGTTTAGGGTTTACAGGGTTCAGGGTTTAGGGTTTAAGGTGTAGGGTCGGAGTTATGTTTTCCTAGTTTTGTTTTGAGAATACCGGGACCGTCTACACATTCCTGAGCTGAAGTGATACTAAGTAGAGCAGCAGGAGTTCTACTAGCAGCAGGCACCCTCGCTCAAAGACCATCAACTTGAGTAGGTGAGAAACAAAACATGGTCGTACTCGAACACAACCGAGCTTAAATGGATAGTGGACAAACCAAACAACACCCCAAGCCCGTAAACCTTAAACACAAAGCCCCATACCCAAGCCGTTCAGCCTAAACGTTAAAGTCTAGAACATTCTAATAAAGCTTGTAATCAACCTTTCTGACCTCCCCCCCCCCCCCCCCCCCCGGGTAAATGAACAAAGCACATGCTAGAATCCCTATAAGCACTGCAACAAAACCACGGAAACGCCTACATACAAATCCCACGAGACAAGGCACCGAAGCCTCCAAGACGCCTGCTCCGGCGGCGGGTGGTGACGACGACGAGTTCTGAGGCCGTTCTGTTGGTGAGCTTTAGGGCTTGATAAGGGCACTTAGGGCCTTTAGGGTTTAGGCTT